TCTCGCCGTCACAGCTGCCAATATCGATCTTGCCAATTCCGACGGTCTCAAGCTCGCCCGCGAGGTCGATCCTGAGGGCCAGCGAACGATTGGTGTTCTCACCAAGGTGGATCTTATGGACGAGGGCACTGATGTAGTTGATATTCTGGCTGGACGCATTATTCCTTTGCGGTTGGGATACGTCCCTGTGGTCAACCGTGGCCAGCGAGATATCGACAACAAGAAACCGATTATGGCAGCCCTGGAGAACGAGAAGAACTTCTTCGACAACCACAAGGCATACAGGAACAAGAGCTCTTACTGCGGAACTCCCTATTTGGCAAGGAAGCTCAACCTCATTCTGATGATGCACATCAAGCAGACCCTGCCCGACATCAAGGCTCGCATCTCGAGCTCACTGCAAAAGTACTCTGCCGAGCTGGACAGCTTGGGACCTAGCATGCTGGGCAACAGCGCAAACATTGTTCTCAACATCATCACCGAGTTCACAAATGAGTGGCGGACGGTCTTGGACGGCAACAACACAGAGCTTTCCAGCACGGAATTGTCGGGTGGTGCGAGAATCAGCTTCGTGTTCCACGAGCTATACTCCAACGGTGTCAAGGCTGTGGATCCCTTCGACGTGGTCAAAGATGTTGATATCCGTACGATCCTGTACAACTCGTCCGGTTCCTCTCCGGCGCTCTTCGTCGGCACTACTGCCTTCGAGTTGATTGTGAAGCAGCAAATCAAGCGTTTGGAAGACCCGAGTCTGAAGTGCGTGTCCCTCGTCTACGATGAGCTGGTGCGCATTCTGTCTCAGCTCCTGGGTAAGGCGCTGTACCGCAGGTATCCTTCCCTCAAGGAGAAGGTTCACACCGTGGTCATCAACTTCTTCAAGAAGGCCATGGAACCCACCAACAAGCTGGTCAAGGATCTCGTGGCTATGGAGGCATGCTACATCAATACTGGTCACCCTGACTTCTTGAACGGCCACAGGGCTATGGCTATGGTAAATGAGCGCTACAACCCTTCCAAGCCTGTCCAGGTCGACCCAAAGACCGGCAAGCCTCTCCCGGGAGGCACTCCCAGAGCGTCCAGCCCAGTTGTGCCTGAAGATGCCGCCAACGGAGGCTTCTTTGGCAGTTTCTTCGCCGCGAAGAACAAGAAGAAGGCTGCAGCCATGGAGGCTCCTCCGCCGACACTCAAGGCTTCCGGAACGCTGTCAGAGCGCGAGAACATTGAGGTGGAAGTCATCAGTATGTCTCCCTTGTTTCACTTGACTCGAAGAAACGCTAACCATGATGCACAGAGCTGCTCATCTCTTCCTACTACAACATTGTGAGGCGGACCATGATCGACATGGTGCCCAAGGCCATCATGCTTACCCTTGTTCAGTGAGTACACACGCCAAGTTTCGTCAGTGAGGTTTGGTCAGCTAACAGTAGGGCAGATTCACCAAGGACGAGATGCAGAAGGAGCTCTTGGAGAACATGTACCGCACCGATACTCTGGACGACCTGCTCAAGGAGAGCGACTTCACCATCCGTAGAAGAAAGGAGTGCCAGCAAATGGTGGAGTCCCTTGGCAAGGCCAGCGAGATTGTCAGCCAGGTCCAGTAAGAGACGCGAGACGACAAACAAAGTGGCTTCTGAGAAGCACTCAAATTTTTGCCTGCTGAGATGCTGGCCGCCCCATGCTTCCGGGGGCACGAAAACTAGAAAGAGCGCGGCGTTCAGGCGGTGAAATCTTCCCAAAAATCGTCGGCGGAGACCCTGGAGGCGTGGGAGGCGGTAGACAATCGGACAGCAGCGGTTGCGGTGATAGTCCTTTAATGAGAGTGGCATACATTTGTTTCTTGTGATGATGACTGAATCAAGATGGCCAAAGAGGATATAGCAAGAGAGAGGCAGCAATGAAAGACCACGTTCCCAATTCGCTTTTCCTGTTCCTGTGCGACGCGCCTCACTTTCCAGTCGAGAGCCTCTCTGAATTGGCATGTGCTTGGTTTGCGACACTCTAGGGGGCGTTATCAATCATGCTCTACAGATCATCATTCAGACGATCTTTCGAGACGCACGTTCGTCCCTCTTACGTAGTAGGGATCCGGCTAACCGGCCGTTGGCTCCGGATTCAAGACTACTCCAATTGACCAAGATCCGGTAGATCATGCAATCAAACTAAACCTTGACCTAGATTAGGATCTCCTGGCGTTATTCCGTTTGGCGTATGAAAGGAAAGCTGGCGTGGGGCGGATATAGGTATCAAAGTAACGTTCATACTTCCGGGTGCCAGCCACTATGGCATAAGAGATGAGCAGATTGGGTGCAGAGGAGAGGTACGGATACGTCTTGGAGACACGCATGCACACGGGTATTCGCCCGGATTCCGTACTCGCTACTTATCGTATTAACGAACATCTCTTTTTGGCTTTTTCACCTCATGTTACGTCGCGCTAGTGCGCAGGTTAGTGTTCCACGTCGGTCAATGCCTGCTCGCTGAGCTTGGTGAAACATTTCCCGGGTAGCGGGAAGCATCAGGGTAGCTTCCGTGCTCTGTGTCTCTCTCACTCACTCTCCGTCTCGAGGTTCCCTCCCCTTCCCCGCAGCATTGAATGGGAAAGCTTGAGCTCTGGGAGAGAGTGGTCTAGACAAGGTCTAGACGGATAGGTCGGGAGAGGGGAAGGGGAAAGGTAGGCCGTAAAGGTAGGTATCTAAGAGAGAGAGAGAGGGGGGGGGGGGGGGGATGGTATTGATAAACTCACCGTGCCCTCCCTTACCTCCCTTTCTTTGTTCATTCTCTGCGTGCATTGCTCCATATTCAACTGCAAACTACCGACTTACCAGAACGTCATTAACCGAAAGACGCGGATATCAAGTGCTGTAAGAAATTCAGCTACAGAGTTTATTCGAAGAGATAGGCTTAGTATCCAGGGCTCCAAAACTTTGAAGTGAGGAACGAACCAGCAAAAGAAGAAGAAGAAAGCCGCCAAGATGATGGCAGTAGACTTCCTCCGCTCTCAATTCAAAAAGCTCCCCTACCCATCCGACGACTGCGCCGGCCGCACCATCATCGTCACGGGCTCCAACGTCGGCCTGGGCCTCGAAGCGGCGCGGCACTTTGTGCGGCTCAACGCCGCCAAGGTGATCCTCGCCGTGCGCAGCACCGACAAAGGCGAGGCGGCCAAGACGGACATTGAGCTGACGACGGGCCGGCGCGGCGTCGTCGAGGTGTGGCCGCTGGACCAGGCGTCGTTTGAGAGCGTCAAGGAGTTTGCGGCGCGCGCGGACAAGCTGCCGAGGCTGGACTTTGCGGTGCTGAACGCGAGCATCGCGACGGGCAAGAGGGTCGACGCCGAGGGGTGGGAGAGCACGATTACGGTGAACGTGCTGAGCACGTTTTTGTTGGGGTTGAAGTTGTTGCCGGTGCTGAGGAGGACGGGCAAGACGCATAATGTTACGCCCAAGATTGTGATTGTCGCTTCGGATGCGAGTCAGATGGTGAGTTTTGTTGTGCCTTCTTCTTGCCCTTCTCTCTCAAACTGCGAGTGATGCCATGGAGATAGATTCCACCCACTTACACGCAATTCGTGCCCCGCAGGCCAAGTTCCACGAACGCAACGAAGAAGACATTTACAAGGCCCTCAACACCAACAAGAGCCTGACGGACCGGTACAACACGTCGAAGCTGATGCAGGTGATACTGGCGCGGCAGATGGCCATCGCGGCGGACGCGTCTGGCAAGGGGCGGGTGCAGGTGACGACGCTGAACCCGGGCCTCTGCGCGACGGCGCTGTTCCGCAACATCCCCTTCCCGCTGACGATCGTCGTCAAGGTCGGGCTGAAGCTGCTGGCGCGGTCGGCCGAGGTCGGGTCGCGGTGCCTGACAGCGAGCGCGTTCGCGGGCGAGGAGGCCCACGGGCGGTACATGAGCGACTGCGTCGTCGTGCGGTTCCCGAAGGTCATGCAGGGCGAGGAGGGGGAGCAGATGCAGGGGCGGGTGTGGGAGGAGACTGTGGAGCTGCTGAATGGAGTTGATCCCGGCGTTTCGATGAATCTTTGAGTGCGCTTTTTGGAGCCTGGGCTGAATGGTATTGTGTGCGATGGTTCTGTTCGTGAACAATAATTTGCAAGATACCTTTTTGGGGGGAATATGTCATGTTTATTGCTGTCTGGGCAGTGTTAGGAAGCGCTCTACTTTCTCATGTGAGTATACGGATGCTGCGCTAAAACATCCACATGTCAATGATATCTACAATCTTGGACGATAGGCATGTCTAGGTATCAAGGAGGAAATGTTCTTACAATGCCAAATCATCAATTCTTTCCGATAGTTGTTATGTCTATTATCTTATGTACAGAAGTATACCTTACCTAGACACTAGAGTATAGGTACGCAGGGGCTGTATAAATTGTATCACATATCACCACTTAAGAAGGAACAAACTTCAATAAGGGCTGCTCCTGTGGATATGCACTTTGGAGTGCTTGGCACTCTCAAAAGTGATAAAAGTACGGAATACTTAAGAGCCAACGAAATCTCGTCCCATCCCATCGGCCCTGTGTTGAAGTCCATATCAAGCAACCACCTCACATCATCTTCAGGAACCCCACACCGAGTACATCATGCACCGGCAATAAGGTGCTCACCGACCCCACAGTAGCTCCCGTCCCGTCCCCCCCGCGATTCGGTGCCAGTGCTAGGAGTTGCTTGTTTTCAGCAACTCCGACCACCCGCCCACAGGCGGACACTGCCTCGGCTTCTTGGGAGCTTCCCCAACTCTAAGTTTACCGGGCTCATGTCTCGGTCACAACTCACAACCGGGACTTCTTTATTTCACAATTCTGCAACAATTTCATCTACATGTATCCGTAAAGATTTCTTACAGTATTACGAAAAAGTACTAAGTCACTTAGAATCAAGTACATAAAGACATTGTCATTATCCCAAGTCTTCTTACATTTATCCTCATCTTACACTCAACCATCTTCAACATCGTCTAAGTGAATTACCTAACAACCATGGTCGGCCCTCCGCCCCTAAAAGGCATCAAGGTCCTCGAATTCGCCGGCCTCGCACCGGGTCCCTTTGCAGGCATGCTCCTCTCCGACGCAGGCGCTTCCGTCCTCCGCGTCGACCGTGCCATCGAGGGAAGCCGCACGCCCCTGCCGACGGAAGACATGCTAGCCCGCCACAAGGCCTCCGTCGCCGTGGACTTGAAATCGCCCGCCGGCCTCGCTCTCGTCAAACGTCTGGCCGAAAAGGCCGACGTGCTCATCGACCCCTTCCGCCCGGGCGTGCTAGAGAAGCTGGGGCTGGGGCCCGAGGTCCTGGAAAAGGCAAACAGGGGCTTGATTTACGGCCGCATGACGGGGTTCCGAAGGGACGGGCGGTATAAAGACATGGCGGGGCACGATATCAATTACCTCGCCGTGTCCGGGGCGCTGAGCATGCTCGGCCGGGACGGGGAGAAGCCGCACCCGCCGTGGAACATTTTGGCCGACTTCGCAGGCGGCGGGGCGATGCTGTTCCAGGGGATTCTGATGGCGCTGCTGGCACGGGAGAGGAACGGTGGGAAGGGCCAGGTCGTGGAGGCCAACATGGTGGATGGGTCGGCGTACTTGGCCACGTTCCCGCGGTTCGCGCTCAAGAACCCGCTCGGGGACAACGGGCGCGGGAGGAACATGCTCGACGGCGGGTGTCCGTACTACGACACGTACGAGACAAAGGACGGCAAGTACTTTGCGGTCGGGGCGCTGGAGCCGCAGTTCTTTGCGGCGTTTATCAAGGGGCTCGGGTTGGCGGGGCAGGGGTGGGAGGAGGAGAGGTTCGATCGGGCGAGGTGGGGGGAGCTGCGGGAGTTGTTCACCAAGATCTTTAAGAGCCGGACGAGAGGGGAGTGGGAGAAGGTGTTTGACGGGACGGATGCGTGTTGTACGCCCGTGTTGGAGTATCACGAGCTCGAGACGGAGCCGGCGAGGGAAGGTGACCAAAGGCCGGCGGTGACGTTGGTAGAGACGCCGTGTTTGGCTGTGGCGGCCGGCGAGGATAAGGATCCGAGACGGGGGCAGGGGCCTGGTGTTGAGGGGGGAGGGTATGTCGGCGTTCCGCTTACGCCTGGTGATGGTGGTGAGAAGGCGCTCGAGGAGTGGCTTGGATGGAAGAAGGGGAGAGAGTTTGAGATTAGGGAGGGGACATGGGTGCTTAAAGAGAAGTCTAGGCTATGAAAGACTGCCCGGTGTTGAAGATTGATATTGTGAAAGTATGCCTATAACTGTTGGAGTATTCGGTATTCCGGCACGTCTCCATCATATATAAGTTTTCTGGTGTTGTTCAACGTGAACAAGTTGCTACCCAAGACCTTGTTCTTTCCATGTATATTTTAGTCACTACGTAACCTTATGTTAGCTTTTTTGTCATGTCAATAGCATGTAATCATGTGCTAACTTTCGCCAAGCATGAACCGAGATACGAAGACAGAGTGCCTCAACTCGGACTTGGTGGTGGGTTCGGCGGTGGCCGAGGCGAGGGGGGATCTTTCCTCGACATGTCCGTGGTTGTGACCGAGGCAGCTGCTTTATGTATCACGTAGATAAAAAGACTCAAACGCCGCTTTGTCCAGAGGATTAGTCGATGTTTTCGAGGTATGGTAAGGTCTTGAGCATACCAACGCTCTCTTGAATGACAATACTTGTCTTCAGTGACTTCTCATGAACATGAACACTCTAGTTTCTTAAAAGAAAGTCAAGCGTGAAATACTTCTTAGCCTGCTTCATCAGAGGAAAAGCTTTGCCAGGGAACCATCCTTTGAGCAACGTCGGCCTCTCTTCGTGTACACTGAGCCGCCAACAGCTGCGCGCTCCCGTTCCGTTCCCTGACCGCCACTACTGCCTCTTCATGTCTTCTTGTCGGTGATGAGAACGTAGTAGTCTGAGGTGTTTTTTCCCTTGGCCGCCAGCACCTGTCCATATGCCGGAAGCCGTTCCCGCCTGTGCCGGCCCGGGGAATGTCAAAGGTGGCTGTCATCTTCTCTGGTCTGCATATCCAGCCCGTCGGAACCCGACGGCTCGCGCTCCCCGGCATGACTGAGGACCTCTCTGGACTCGCCTATCAGATGCGAGGCTTACTTGAACGTGGGGGAAAGGTGTGGTGGCCCGACTTTGTAGGCGTGTTGTAGCACTGCGTTGTCTCTTGTTGTGCCGACTGTCTCCCCCGGCTCACCGCCACGAGTATGGCTGTCATTGTGGATGCGGAAAAAGCAAGTTGACCCTGACACTGTACGTACCGTCACAGAGGGCGGAGGTGTTCGGTTCATAGCAGGTTCTATTTCTGTAGTTTGAATATCTCCTACTTTTCATAGAGATAAGCTGTTGACCTTTGTGCTAGTCTTTCCCAGATGAAAGCACACAAAACGTCTATCACGACTACCGCAGTCAACAAGGTTTTGAAGCGTCCTGCACTATGGAATAGTTTGGCCTTCAGGAATGAAACATACTATCCGTACGAAGCCGGTGATGCCTTTGAGTTTTTAGGCGCCACTACGGCTTTCAGACTTGAACCACGCCCGTGTTGCTGGCAATACTGTACGGGCTGTAAACTTTTGAAGTTCATATCAATCATACCAGCCACTCATAAACCCAGCCTTCGTTTCGAGGCCTATTTATTCCTCGTGCGATACCTTCATGGCATACCAATACTGATATTAAGGTTTGGTTCTCACCAAAGGGCATTCGACTTCCATCAGCGAGATGCTTCTCAGCCAGCGTATGCTCTGTTCAGAGACTAGTTGCAGAAGCGGCTATCATCATCGCAGCTGTCCAATTCAAGATTTACCACGTTATCTGGTAGGTACCTCACAGAACCTTCTGAACCAACTCGACTGTATCGAAAAAAGCTTCCCGCTCAGTGTCGACCTTAGTGAGCCCCAGTCCCACCACGAGCGTCCTGCGATCCTCGGGATCTCTCGTGGACATGAGACTGGCAATCTGTGCTGCGTAGAGCTGCCCTAAAGTTTCTCTCTCATCACCTCCACCTCCGAGAAGAGTCTTGGGCGTCAGGTGGACCGATGGGAGAAGGCCCCGGCTGGTTGAAGGCAGGCTCAGGTCAACCATGCCGCCTGTAGAAGCTTGCAAAGGTACTTGGATCTTTGAGAATGGTCAGTAAAATCAATTTTGGATAAAGCCCAGGGAAACTTCGAGGACGCACCCATTGTGAGAGCTTGCCGTCTTGTGAGATTGTCAATACGAACTTGTCGGAAAAGGAGACTGAAGTGACTTCTGTTGGGACGCCGTTTACTGTTCCCGTTTCCTGCCTGCTTCGTGCGGGGAAGGCTTCTTCTCTGATTCCCTGAGGTTCCATCGTGTTGGGTGTTCCGAGATAGTATCTTTGGGGGGGGGAGGGTAGAATGATTTTATGTTGAGTCTTCTCGATTTTTGGAATTGACTTTACTATTTGAACGTGTAGGCGGATGATGTAGATCGTTTATTAAAGTCTCAAGTTGGACTTGTAGGTCAACTCGGACTGCAGCCAGTGAGGGACTCGTCAAACCCACAGCAGCGGGTGACAGGGGTGTGGATCGCCCCGCACTAGGCCCAAAATAGCTGGAGACCCGGCGGTCAACCCGGCAGAACCTTTTCCATCCAAAAATTTCCAGAATTTGGCGGCGCATCTTAGCGACCCTCAGCGTTGAGTGAGAGAAACATGAGATTTTACTTCACGTGCATCTCCTAATCTTGATACCCTTGTTAAAATGCCAATTTCCTGGCGGTATTGACAATTGTTTTGCAACGCATTTTTCCAAAATTCGATCGCTTTTCTAGGCTTCCACGGCTTGATCTAATTTCACCTGGATCAGCAACGAATCTCAGTCTCATCCACCTAAACTTTTCCCAGTGAGGTGAGAGGCTGCATAAGAAACAGCGACTTTTGCTCCGGTCCAAAGCAGCACCACTCACGCCACGAAGGATCTGCATTGAAGACAAACTCGAACTTGTCATTTTCACACAAATCAAAATGGGAAAATTCGTCCCAAGGCAACGAAAGCACAAGGTGCTCGCCCGCGAGAGGGCCAAGGAGAACGGCATCATCCCCCAGGACTCGAATGCGGATGAGATTCTCCCCGAAGACCAGAAGCGTCTCCAGGAAAAGAGAGCGCAGCTCAAGGCCGAATTGCAAGGAGACGGTGCCAAGGCCAGCGGCAAGAAGGCGAAGCGGTTGGAAAAGTACATCACCAATAAGCTTCGCAAAGATGAGAATCGCGAAATCCTCGCCAAGCTCGCGCAGCAAAAGGTCGACACGAGCTTGTTCACGAGCACCAAGACTCTCGGTCAGGGCAAGGAGTCCAAACGCCAGGCTTTGACGAGGGCGTTGCGGGAGAAGAACGCCGGGTTAGCAGTCGACGCGGATGCCGAGGAGCTGCTTTATGAGGAGAGAGAGGAGGCCCCCGAGGTGGATTCTGACGACAGCCTAGATGACACTTCAAAGGCACCCAAGCCGAAAGCTTCTAAGGCTGCAGTCAAGGCACCTGTGCCGGTATCAGCAGCGAAAGCGAAATCAACACCAGTACCGCCTCCACAAGTACCAGCACCTGAACCGACAACTACACCTGCACCTGCATCAAAGCCGGATCCGCAACTCGCCGCATCTGTAGGCTCTGGTCTGAAGCGTCCATTAGATGTCGATGATTCAGGACGACCAGTGCTTCAGAAGCGTCAAAAGAGAGGCGGCGTGACCTCCAAATTCTCCATCGCTGAACCGGAGAAAGCGAAGGATGCAGAGGACGAATGGAATGGTTTGAGCGATGACGCAGAGAACAATTCAAGCGATGAGGATGACGATTCAGCCGAGGAGTCTGAAGAATCAAGCGAAGGATCCGAAGAGTCTGAGGAAGACGACGAAGATGAAGACGAAAGCGAGGACGATGAAGAAGAGTCTACCAGCACAAGGCAGTCTGCCTTCAAGGCTTGGGCTCTTGCGCAAAGAAACGAAGCCCTTGGTTTTGAAGGAACAACAGAGGCCTCCACAGCACTGGAAATTCCTAGGCCAGAGAATTTTGAGCCACGCCCGCTTGAGCAGGAACCACTACCTCAGGAACTACAGCCGACAACAAACCTTGCACGCAAGGCATACGCCGTTGCTGTGACGAGAACGCCAGATATCCAGGAAGTCCGCATGAAACTTCCGGTGGTCGCTGAGGAACAGAAGATTATGGAGATGATTCACAATAACGACATTGTCGTCGTATGCGGTTCTACAGGTTCCGGTAAGACGACTCAGGTGCCGCAATTCTTGTACGAGGCTGGGTACGGTTCTCCTGGCTCTGCTACTCCGGGCATGATTGGCGTCACGCAACCCCGACGAGTTGCTGCCGTGAGCATGTCAAAACGTGTTGCGCAAGAACTAGGCGATCACTCGGACAGAGTGGGATACCAGATCCGATTCGAGGGTACAGCTTCGGCCAAGACGGCCATCAAGTTTATGACGGATGGTGTGTTGCTGCGAGAGATGGGGCAAGACTTCTCTCTGAAGAAATACTCGGCAATCATTATCGACGAAGCCCACGAAAGAAGTGTCAACACAGATATCCTCATTGGAATGCTGAGTCGTATCAATAATATCCGCAAGGGCGACGACAAGGTCGATCCTTCGATCAAGCCACTCAAGATCATCATCATGTCCGCGACGCTAAGAGTCGAAGACATGACCAACAATACCACACTATTCCCCACCCCGCCTCCTGTGGTTGAAGTCGAAGGACGGCAGCATCCCGTCACGATTCACTTTGCAAGGCGGACACAGTCCGACTTCGTCGAGGAGGCCTTTAACAAGATTATGCGTGGTCACCGGAAGCTACCGCCAGGAGGCTTTCTGGTGTTCCTTACCGGCCAAAACGAGATTAGGTATCTGAGCAAGCGCCTAAGGGAAGCATTTGGTGGCTTCACAGAAGCCAGCGCACCCAAGGTCCAGATCTCAGCCACCGATGCGCCTATGGAAGTCGAAGATATCGACTTTGGCGAGGTTGACGATGCCATCGGTGCCGACATCGATGACGGCCTCGATGAGGATGAGGACATGGAGCACGAGGACGACAAGGAGTTCGAAATTGAAGGAGAGGAGGGAGAAACGGGGCCCATGAAGATGCAAGTCTTACCCCTTTACTCTCTCCTGCCAACTAAGGAGCAGATGAGGGTATTTGAGGATCCTCCCGAAAACCACCGTCAGGTCATCC